CCACCCCCCGCTGAGTGTGGGGGCGGCGGTGGCCCCCCGCCGCAGCCTGGAGCTGGTGCTGCACACCCTCTGCGCCCTGTCAGCGGCGCTACACCTGGACCCCGTCAACGGCGACTTCTTCAGGAAGAACGGGCTGGTTGAGAAGCTGGCCGAGGACCTGTGCCTGCTGGGCTGTTTTGGGACCGCACAGGAGGAGGGGGCCCCTCTGCACCCGTGTGCCGACAGGAAGGCCAGACCCTTTGCTGACTTGCTGCGCGCAGCCCGTTCCTCTAGCTGCCCCTTCCCACCCCGGGTGCAGAGCTGCCTCTGGATCCTGAGCTTTCTGGACAGCATGGCCGGCGGCACCCTGCACCTGCGTGGGGACCTGAGGGCGGCTCTGCGGGAGGGAGAAGACGGCGGTGACCCCCAAGGCAGCTTCAAGGAGTGGCCAAACCCGGAGGAGAGGTAGGACGGTGCAGCGCCCTCTGCCGGGGCCTCTTCCCAGGACGTCCTGCCCCTGCGTGTGGGGTGGGAGGCTGAGCTGCAGGGGGGGCGGCGGGAGGCCAGGGCTTTTCCGGACTGAGTCAAGGTCTGACCACCCCTCCGTCCCTCTACCCAGCCCCACGGCTCCTCTCTCGCAGGCCCAACTCCTCAGTGGATTCAGACACAACTTCTTACTTTCATTTCTGTAACACATTTCCACTGGAGCAAGGGGACATGTCTCTTGGTTTCATAATGAGTAATTTTTAAATTTATAAGGGTCAGATTTCATAAATAGAGCATTTGATTCCTCATTAAAAGAGATATATGACCCTGGGCCTTTCCTAATGGGTAGAGAACAGGAAGTGATACTCTGGCCTCTTGAGAGTCTGGGCTAAAGGGCATGGAGGAGTCTGGGAATCCGAGGAGGGTGTCCCTCTCTGCCCTTGCTGTCACCCACATCTCCTTGGACAGGTGGGGTGGTTCAGCGCCCTTCCTCAAGGTGGGCCCTGGCCTCCAGGGAGGGGGCGAGGCTGTGGCCTGGAGTCTGGACTGTCACTCTATGACAGTCCCCGGAACCTGCTCCCTTCTCTCTCTGGGCTTCCATTCCCTGACTTGAGGACAGGGACGTGGTGGCAGTGATTGCCACACCCTGAGCATCTGTGCCAGACACCCTGCTCAGTCCCCATGAGGACAACTATGACTTAATAATGTGTTTGACGAAATAGAAGTTTCATGCTATGTAATTGCCGAAATGTATCTGTGATTCCAGAAATACATAAATGTCAGTTCTATAAAACACACATGCACCACACAACATGAACCACACACCAAAGACGCTCCCACCCGGCTGGCCCACTTCTCAGGTAGGTCTCAGCCATTCTACAGGAAGGCTCGGAGATGGAGGTGGAGAAGGGAACGGGTCAGGCCATGGGGGTCCTTCCCTGCTCCCCACACTAGACCATTTTGGTTTTATCCTGTAGGGGGTGCAGAGCCATGGCGGTCTCTGGGCAGGGTGCTGGCATGGTGGGGATGGCGGTTCACAAGGACCACTCTATGACAACCTCTGTAGAGCCCAGAGTGGGGTACCCAACTCCTTCTCGGTTCACCCCTTCGCACTTGACTCTTCAGTCCTGCCAGGCCTCGTGGGCTGCTTTTACTCCTTCAGTCACCAAAAGCACAGTCCCAATGACCTGTGAAGTCTTGGTTAAAACTCACATGTTTTCTTTTGTAATTGAGGAATGAAATACTGAACCTTCCTTCTGAGCACCCTGCGAACATCTCTATGTGTATCTTTTTTTTAAAGCTTAAACATTTTAAATTTTTTCTTGAAACTTTTACTTTGACTCATAGCTTATTTTAAAAATATGTGAATTCCCAAGTACTTGGAGATTTTAAAATTATCTTTCCAATATTTCTGTGATTCTGTATTGTCAGAAAACGTGTTTTGAATAATTTTGTTAATTTGAAATGTTTGGAGGTTTGCTTCATGATCCAGGTATAGCCTTTTATGACAAATGTCCCCTGGGAATGACTTGAAAGAACATATATTCTGCAGTGGTTGGATGCAGTCTTCCTATGTGTCAATGACGTCATTTTCTTTGATAATTTTCTGTCTACCTTTTCTACCAATTACTGAGACAAGAGTGCTGAAATCTTCAATGATAATTTTGGATTTGTCCTTTCAGCTCTACCAAGGCTTGCTTTATCAATTTTGATGCTCTATGGTAAAGCATATACATATCTGGGTTATTAAGCCTTCTCTAATCTTAGATAATATAGCTCATTTATCCCTGGTAGTTGTTCTTGCTCTGAAGTCTGCTTTTCCTGGTATTAATAGAGCCACACCAGCTTTCTTTGGATTAATTTTAGCATAATATAAATTTTTCTGTCCTTTTACTTTTAACCATGCCATTATATTTAATGATGGACTATAGCTGGTTCTATTTTTTTCCATTCTGACAACAGAATGGGTCTGTTAATTATTTCATGGAATTGGGGATGTGTTTGAATTTATGTTTACCATTTTATTATTTGTTTCCTCTTTTTTTCTTTTTTCCATTGCTCTGTTTTTCTTTTCCTCCCTTCTTTGTGAATTGTTTGAATCTGTTTTAGTATTCTGTTTGAATTTATCTGTTGAATTTTTGATCAATCTTTGTCTAGGGTTTTTTTTTTTAAGGTGGTAACTCTATATATGTACATATCTAGTTAAGTGTATATATAGTGCATACGTATACATATACACACACTTAACTTTGAACAGTTTACGTAGAATGAATATTTTACTACTTCGAATGGATTATTAGAAGCTTACCTTTATTCTGCTCATTTTTTCTTTCTCTCTTTTTGTGGTTCTCCTGTGTGTTACCCTAATACAATTTTACTTTCATCCATCATTCATATATTAAAGCACTTAAGGGGGAAAAAAACAGTGTATTTTATTTATCCAAACACTAACCATTTCTACTGCTCTTTCTGTGTTCCCTCAGTGACATGTCCCCTTCTGTTATTATCTCCCTACCATCTGAAGAACTTTTAAAGAATTATTTTTAGGATAAGTTTGATGGCAAGAACTCCTTTTTTTCTTTATCTGAGAGTGCCTTATTTTGCCTTCATTTCTGAAGTATGTATTTGATGGACATGGAACTAATTCTGTGCTTTTTTGTATACTTTAGAAACGTTGTTACCCAGCCTTCTGTTTTCTCATGAGGAAATCCATTCATTCAAGTGGCTTTTAATGTTTTCCCCTACATGTAATATTTTGTTTTTCTCTGGCCTACCTAAAGACCTTTTTATTGTCTTCGGGTCTCTGCAGTTTGATTATGATGTGCCTGGGCAAGGATTTCTTTGTTTATTTTGCTGGAGTTTTGCTAAATTTCTTGAATCTTTAAGGTTATGCATTTCATCAAATTTGAAGAAAGAATGGTGGAGAACGTGCCCTTTCTTCTCCTTCTCTCCTGAGGTTTCAATGGCAGGCTGTTTGATCCTTTGATATTGTGACGCATGACCTTGAGCTGCCTTGGGTTGCACACGTGTGAGCCAGCCAAGGGCAAGGCAGTAAAACATGATGCTCTGTGAGGCAATCTCACATGGGGAGGTTCTCAGCTCAAGTCCGGAGACCTCCCTGAGTACACAGGCTGGCCTGTGAGCCAAGGCTGGCCGAGGGCTGGGGAAGGTCATGGCACCAAGACTCTGTTGGGATTGCTGTCTCTCTTTCAGTCATGGAAGAAATAAATAACTTTTGCGAATATATTAAAAAAAATTTTTTTTGTTGTTTAGACCAGGCAATTTTTACTGACCTAGTTTCAAGGTCATGAATTCTCCCTTCACTTGTTTTTCTATTGGGTTGTCGGAAAAGTCGGATGATTTTTCAGTATTTCTCACTAGTCAATATTTTTCTCATTTGATGTTTTCTTTTTTTAAATTTCAGGTTATTGTACTTTTTGTCTTTAAGTTTATATTTGGCTCTTTTTTGTTGTTGTTGTTGCTTCCATTTCTTTACTAAGACTTTCTATTCTTTCACTCATTCAGAACTGTTGACTCAGAGTTTTACTCGTACCTGCTTTAAAGGGTTTGCTTGATAATCACCACGTTTCAGCATTGGCAGCTGTTGGTTGCAGTTTTCCGTGAGATAGCGAGATTTCCCTGGTTGGTTCTACATCGAGCAATTCAAGTTGTGTCCTGGACATTTGAATACTACCTTCTGAGTTCTGGCCTTGGCTGGCCCCTTACGGAGGGTGTTGCGTGTGTTGCTTCAGCAGGCAGTTGGCTGGAGAGGCTCAGGCTGGGGGCTCCGACCCACCTTCTGTGAACTGTCTTTCCAAGATCAGTTCAGATTTTGGAGACTTTGCGGGTTGATTGCAAGTGCTCTCAGCTTGCCTCATGTAGTAGCCAGTTTCAGGTGGTGGTGTACCCCTAGCTGGGGCAGGTCTATGTGTGCAGAGGGAGAACTGAGCCTGGAGGTCCATACACACCCCTGTGTCTCTCTCACCGGCCTCCTGCCCTTGCCCTCTCCTTAGCACATGCTGGCTGCCCAGCTCCCGTGCTTTCCCTCTGCCTAGAACGCTGGGGCTTCGGGTTCTCTGCTCCTTCCCACACTGCACTTGTCTCTCGGGTCAAGTGGGAGAGAAACAAGCAGCAGAGATCTCGCCAGTGCTCTTGGGACCCCAATTCCTCTAGTCAGAGCAAGCATCCCTGAGAGTTTTAGAGCCTGCCTGGCCCTCCTCGTGCTGCTCTTGCTGCTAAGAAAATTGCCAGAGGTGAGGGTGAAGAAGAATGGAGAAACCTCAGAAAATCCCTGGAGATTTCTGTGACCTGCAGGAACCTTATTTTCGCTCCTCAGAGTAGAAATAGAGACGTCTCTCAGGGGTCTGCCATGCTGTCTGCACCTGGCGCACAGTTCCCAGATCCGGGCCACCTGCCATCCTGGGGAATACTGCTGAGGGGAGCCCCAGGAAACTCCCTGCAGGTCCCATGGCGCTTCGAGCTGGTTTGCTACCATTGCCTTTCAGAGTCCTCAGAGAGCTGCACCACGAGTGCTCTCGGGCTTTCCGTGGCACTCTGTGGGGGTACATAGCAGGGCATGCTTCCAGCACCTCGAAGGGGTCCTGAAGCCTGTGTGTGTGTGTATGTGTGTGTGTGTGCATGCGTGTGTTTACTGTAACATGAGAGCTTCCCATTCCCCATGTGGAGAGGAGGGAGGAGAACAAGAACTAGTCTGCACTGAGCATCGCCCACACGGGGCATGGAGCCGCGGGGCATGGGGCGGCACCTCGTGTCTCCAGGAGGAGAGGTGCATTGTTAGACCACGCTGTGCAGCTGGGATGAGGTTCAGGACGAGCAGGCCAAGGCCATCTGGTAACGGCTGGGGGACGGAGGAGTGTACGCTCTGTCTAAGCAAGTCTGATAAGGGGAAGAGACCGGAAGGGCCTGTATCTGATGCCCTGCTGCCCCTCTCTCTGCAGGACGGATGAAGGGGACCCTGTGATCATGCACCCTGGGATGGTATGCATCATGGTGCGGCTGCTGCCTCGGCTATACCACAAGGATGACCCACAGGTACCTGCTGATGAGCACACACGTTTCGTCCTTTTCACATGACTGATCTTTTAAACTCCTCTGGCCCGAGATCTCGCGTTTCTTTCTGCCCTTGCCCTCGGTACCCAGCATGCGCAGAGCCGCACCTCAGGAAGCACCTCTTGCAGGAAGCATCAGGGTCTTGGACTTGGATTGAGTTGAGCCCCCTTCCAAGCCCATCCAAAGCACTTCTGCTGGGGAAGTGACCTGAGAGCCACTACTGGCATGAGTGAGGCGAGTCCTGGTGCCACGTGCAGCACTGGGCATGGGCACGACCAGATGTCCTTTGCCCGTCTGCCTTACCCTCCATCCTGGGGTGCTGGCTCAGACCCCGGCCTTGTGCTCCATGCAGGGCATGTGGGCCAGCAGGGTGGGCACAGACACTGTCCATGAAGCCTGCACCACCTGGCTGCCAGGGGAGGTGAGCCAGAGCAGGGAGACCACAGACGGACCCACTAGTGAATGTGTGTACAAACTCTGACGAGTGATGTGAAGAAAGATGGTGCCAGAGAGAACAGAGGTCATGGAGGCGGGGACGGACCTAATTAGTCTAACTCAGATTAAGGAGTGGAGCTCAGGAAGTGTCTCTAGGATGGTGACTGTGGAGCGGAGCCCTGAGAGTGAGTAGTCACTCTCCAGGCAGGAGGGAGCTCGCTGTAGGTGGCGAGCAGGACCACGCAGGAGAGCCAGTGGAGGGCGGGAGGCGGGGCGGGCCGAGGGCTGGAGCCTTGGGACTGCAGGTTTCATGCCAAGGTTAACAGGATGCTTCCCTCAGTTGAGCGGAGGATGATGCTATTGTTTTTTTGTGTTAAAAATTTCGCTTTGGCTGTTTGGTGGGGAATGGGGCTGTGGGAAGAGGCGACCGGCACTCGTTAGGAAACGACATCTGCTTAGCCGTGCGGGGTGGGAACTGCATCAGATGTGGCCCTGGGGAGGTGTGAAGGAAGGAGAGTCATGAGTCTTTCAAGAGATGGACTCGCAGACCTCAGGGTGGATGACACATAGGCCGGGGAAGGTGAAGAGCCACAGGTGATGCTCAAGTTTCTGTCCTGGTAGAGAATGGGCACCCTACAGCGGGCCAGGGCATAGGCAATCAGAATGAGGCAGCCTCTTGGGCTGCCAAGGGACCATCATGATGATCTGAGAAAGACAGGAGTCAGCGAGGGAGACCTGGACGGCATGCCACTCCAGACCTATCAGCAGCAAGGACAGGAAACGGGTAGAATCAAGCAGCTACTGTGTGCCGAGTGGACGGTTAGGCCCTCACACTGGCTACTTAGTCATTTGTTGGGGACAGCACTGTCTCCATTCTAACCAGCGAGGGAGTGGAGGCTCTGATACCGTAAGTGACTTTGCAGAACTCGCAGTTGGTGAATCCGGAACTGATCCAGGCAGAGGTGGGGGCAGGCCTCTCTGCTTTGCTCTGCACAGCTATGGCTTCCACAGTGGGGATTGGTGCCTCTGCGAGGGCTCCAGCTTTGTACCACCCAGGAGTTCAAAGGAGGCAACAGGGCCACTTGGAGCCCAGTGGTTAAGGGTGATCGATCCCAGATGGCTGACCCAGTTCAAATCCTGGCCATGACAGCTTGAAAAGCAGGCCCCAGACCCCCACAGGGTGCAGAAATGGAAGAGAAGGAATTGCGGGGTGACTGTGCCCCCATGGGGGGGTGCTTTCTCTCTCTCTCCATCTTTCCCTCTCTGCTGAGTACACATCCCCTCTGGCAATTAAATAAAGGAGATAATACTGAGTTTTAGGAAGAAATGGCAGCCAGATGGCATTATTAGTATAGCCTTGAAATGACAGCGACCCAGAAAAGATGCCACAGGTCCTCTGAAAACAGCGAGAGATGTGGTGGAGGAGCCAAGGCCTTGCCGTGCAGGGAAGGGAACTGTCCCAGGGAAAGCCTGTGGCATTCAGCGCAGGAGTTGGGAAGGCCTCGCCGCTCCATGTCCACATATACCCTGGTGGCTGGATTTCTTCTTTTTCCTTTTTTTTTCAATTTGCCAGAGAGATGAAAAGTGAGAAGCATCCCCAGCAGGAATTAGGAATGCTAACAGTGCAGCCCCTTCTCCTCCATGCCTCCTCCCTTCAGGATTTTGGGCATGCTCGCACATGTACCTGGTATGTTTCCCAAGCTGCTGTGTCTGGGATTTGAACCACACAGTCGACCATGTGGGATCCAGCTGCTTTAGCCACCATACCACCTGCTAGCCTGGTGACGGGCCATCTTGTTTTAGAACCTGTCCTTCTGCTGAAGAGTGGTGATGTACGGTGACCCTGTAAGTAAGGAACAGGGATACATGTAATAGCAAAATAGATGCATGCTCCATTTTCTTCTTTGTAGAGTTTTGCTATAGGGCATGAGCACTCACAGAGAGACAGGGGGAGTGAGAAAGTGAGAAACATCCCTTGTGGGAATGGGTGTGTGGGAAAGAGCCCACTGAGTCTAGGCTGAGCCTTTGCCTCACTTTTATTGGTAAGAGGCAGTGGGAACAATGCTGGTTTGTCTCAAGCCTCCACCTTCAGAAGACCTGGCAGCTTCTGCTTTTGTGTCCCCGGGAGCTCCAAGCCCCTGTGTACCATGCTGGGCAGTCTACCAAGAGGGACACAGGCGGAGGCTGGATGGGGAGGGAAAGCGGGAGGAGACATAGGCCTCCCTGCTGATGGAGAGGTGGCAGGTGTGTACAGGGGAGGGACACTCACTGGGGACTGTCTTTAGACCAGCCACCATCATTATGGTAGGCCCCTAACTGAGAGTAGAATCTTTTGACTCCACAATGAGATGTCTTCTCAGCATGAGTTTCCTAAAACCTGGGACTTACCTTCTCTCCTCAGCATTTAAGACGAGGTCTGCTTGGAGCTCGCCGGAAGCTAGTGCACACTGGAGGCTCCCTCTGTCGGGGAGGCGACCTCACTCTCTCACAACAGCCCTTCAAGGGCCATGAGATGCTCCCTTATCGGCAGGTCCCTGAGAGTCAGCAAATCTCTGAGACTTCCTAAGAGCCAGGAAATCCCGTGAGACTAGTGAGGGGAAGATCCGAGACTCATCCCAGGCCCAAGCTCAAGGTGAATGGTCCAACCTTTGTGGCTCTCACTGAATACAGAGCCGTGCATTCTGGGAACTCTGCGCCTTTCCAGGAACAACTGGTTCCCCTAGCTGCCAAACGTCAGAGTGCAATCCACTTCCAACAGAATGACCAAGTCAGTGTTGGGGCTGGGTGTGAGCGTGTGCGTGCGCATGCGGGGGTCTTAGTAGTTGCTAATGGGTGCTTTCTGCAAAAACCCACCACAGCAATGACTGATGAAGTGACACAGAGTGGACAGTGTCCCGTCCCGCTGTCTCTTACGAGCATGAACACGCCATGAGGGGCCCTAGTGTGGGATAGACTTTAAACTGTCACATCCCTGTGCAGAGAAGAGCTTCCGCTGTGCCCATCTTATAACGGTAACTAGACAAATTAAGTATGCAAATGAGAATTCCGTTTGCTTCCATACTTTTTCTTTATTCAGGTCACAATAAGTAATTTAGGAATAGTTTAATTCTCCCTCACTGTCTCTCAAATATGCAAATGAAATGTAGTGGTGCATTTTCTCAAATATTTCCCGCAGATGCCAAATCAGCAGCTATTAAAAGTTGGGTAATTACAGTAATTAATTTCTGAGAAGGGGCGGGGGAACCCCTAAGAACAAACAGAGCACTAAATCAAATGAGAAATGAGACCAGGAAGAAAACGCTGAGACAAAACTGCAGGACCCTGGGTTGGGAGCAGGGCGAGAAGCAGGCAGCGTCACTAGATGGCAGTGTTAGTAAAAAGATGGAGCCCTCCTCGGCCTTCAGCGCCAAGGCGAAGGTTCCGCCGCTCCCTGCTCCCCGCACTCTGACCTGTGGATGAGAAACCGATGGCCCTCCAAGGCGCAGGTGTCATCTTGGAAGCCACTACTGAAGTGACCCTGTGGGCGTTGTCTTCTGGTCTCCTTCCCATCTCGGCCACATTCCATCAGTTCTGTGCACAGCCTGGAGATCGTCCCCTTCCGAAGGATGGCTCTGTGAGCCACTCTTGGGAACAGATTCTCCAGCTGTTCTGTGCCGCTGCTGCTTGTCTCTGGTATGACCACCAGTATTAAACCTTAGGTGGCAGGGATTTTCCTGGGCACAAGGCAAAACCAGAGTCCAGCTCATTCTCTCGGAGCTGAGGTGATGCCAGAAAGAAACACCTGAGGAGAACGATGCTTTCCACTTCTAGCACGCTCAGCAGCCACAAGGGTCTCGTGGCAGGACGTGGCCGTGGGCGAGAGCGCTGACCCATCCTGGGAGAGCTTTCCAGCTGCTGTGGCTTAGGCGGTCCCTACCTGAGGGGCATCTGCTGGTGCGCATGAACCCGGAACTCCAAGAGTAGACGTCGGATGGGCCAAGCTGCGGGGACTCAGTCCTGCCGGAGCAACTGCACGGCATGCTTGCTTCTGTGGATCTTGATAATTCCAAAACACCCCAGTGCCTCTGGGTTCAGAGACAAGGTCGCAGGAACTCAGTCTGTGTTTGAGGGTGGTGGGCAGAGTGCAGACGGCGGCAAGGCAGTCTCCTGGTGATGGTCCCCGAGGTTTGTCCCCAGGGCCTTGGGACATGGAGGGGGGAAAGGCCCAGAGAGGTGAGACACTGGAGCTTTTAGGAGGAGGCATGCCCATGTCTGACCAGGCAGCAGACGGAGGGAAGAGAAGCCCAGACATGAAGGTGCCTGCTGGGAGCCTCGCAGTCAGCCAGGCTGGGACGGCCACACAACGAGAGGCGATGAGTGGGCAGGAGAGTGCAGGGCCACACACTGCGGAGGGCCTTGACTGCGGAGATGAGGCGGTTGAATGTCGTCATTATCATCTCCGCTGGGTTTAACAAACACTGACTGAACGGAGTGGAATTCAAACCCTGAAGATGGCAGACCATGGTGGGATCTCAGCTGGGCCACCGCTCAGTCACAGAGCCAGGGGA